TTTTGCGACTGCTTGGCTGCCTTGTGCCACCGCCTCCTTGGAACGACCAACGCAGCTGACGCTGGCAAGAGACGCATCGCGGATATGTGCTATCACTCCATGTACGACCTAATTAAGAAACAATAGATAAAATGACGTGGAGGACCCGTACAAGCTTTGGTTATTGCATTCCACGACGGGATCCCGAGACCACAGCCAACCGCAGGGATATCCCCCTTCAGTGAGCAACGCTTGCCAACAGATGAACAACCATCGCATCTGCAAATTGGCACGCTTCCTGCAGGTGATGATGGAAATCCATACGTTGCATCTTTGCAAACGTTCACCAGTGTAAATCCCATCCCAGTTGTAGTTGGTTTAGGCTCGATAATGACCACGGGGTGGGCGTCAGCGTCGCGGATGCGAATAGCGGAATGCGGATGCGGTGGGGGTTCTTGCCGTCCGCCCGGCGGATTGTTGAAGGGTGCAAGGATCCACCCGCGACCAAGTCTACAAGCAAGTTAGACGATGTGCCAAGGAGAAAGCGGATCATTTGGCCATCACGACCAAAGTGTCGTTGAAGCGGCCCGTTGACTCGGTTGACGACAACGATGAAGCCGACGCAAATTTGGAAAGCGTTGACAACTCGAGTCGAAGCGGCCGGTCGACTGTTGTGGGCCGATTCGTGTCATGGAGCCGCCACCATTCGCCCCCGCAACTCGGGCGATGCTGCTGGGCTTTCTCGCCGCAGTACCGCTAGTGGTGGTAAGCTACATCCGATTGTTGTGCTACTCCAACGACATGGCCGTAGATACTGGTAGCTCCGTGGACAGAGTTGCTTCCTTGTGTGTTGTACATTCCTCCAGGCCTCGTTGCCGTCGCTGTGCTGCGCCGCTACACTCACTCCAAGAACAAAACGAGCTGTACCAATCGTGTCGACATCGATGCACTTGTCCACATGTTCCTCGCTGGTTGCTCGATTGGCGCGATCGTGGCCATGCTGATATCGAAATGGTCTTTACTTTGGTGGCCCTGGGGTGTTTCCTAGCGATGTCCTCGGGCAAATCGAGCGGTACAGTATCGTGGTGAGCACTCTGGGAACGGCACCTCTGCAGGAGATGTTCTTGCGCACATCCGCGTCCGACACTCGTTCAGCACCCTCCTAACGCTCTGTTACATGGCGTTCATCGTAGCTGGTACCGTACGGTTGACGGCAATGATGAAGCCGATGCAAATTTGGAAAGCGTTGACAACTCGAGTCGAGTCGACCAAGTCAAGCAAAAGAAGCAAAAGCTCCTAGAGTCAATCACAAATTGTTGTGTCGAGCACTGTCGTTTTGAATGTGATGGCACAATATAGAGTTTGTTTCGTAAATGTTTCATAAAGGGGTAAATATACGTGAATATATGTTGTGTTGGGATTGGAAAAAAGACAGCCATCCGACTCTACTGCGATTGGTTTAAATTCGTCGATTTTTGAATTGCAGTGTGTACCTCCTCATTTTGCATTGCTACAAAAATGTCAACATTGCAGTAAAGTTTCCTAAGTCTCTAGCCTACACTTTCTTGCTAGACGAGAAAATGATACCACTTTCAACTGGAATAAACGGCGTTGTCGTCCACATGCAGTCTCGTCCTACGAGGTTGGCAATGCGGCCATGATGATGCCAATGGCGGGAGCATATGATCGTAGCTGAAGTGTATGGACGACTCATACCGCATCCGCAAAATCCGCAAGCGTTGGAATAAACCTTCTCGAGTTCATGCACTGCAAGGCTCCTCTCACAGTAAGTCTTGACTTGCTTGGTAAAATCTCGTGCGTTCAGCCTGTACAGTGGTGGGATACCCCGCGAGAGAGATTCACACCATCACAAGTTCCATGCAGTGGCAACGTCGACGGATGGCAGCATATAGTCTTCAGGTAACATGTACCAACGACCTCCCCAATTGTATAAAGGACGTGGAGTTGCGCATTCTTCATTTTCTTGTGTAGTCGGGGTTTGGCTGCTGGTGCTTGACATAACAATCGAATCGACGGCATTCTTCAACATCTTCTCGAGCATGGTGTGGGTGATGTTGCCAGCAGTGACACCCTTTTCGTCTAAAGCTGCTCGACGGCTCTTCTGATCTCGACGGGTAGGGAACGCACGGAGGCCATATTCTCTTGAAGCTGGGAGTGAATGCCAACGTGAGATGGAATACCAGTCGGCTGCAACGAAATCGACAAGATCGAAACACTGTCTCTAAGATGACTGGCCATGTTTGCATCACCAAACAGCACGGAAGAGAGGACCTGGTGTCTCGCGGGGAGAAAGGACTCGAGAAAGGAGTTATGGTACAACAGATAGGACAAGAACAACGCCAAAACGCCCCGAGCCTGAGGATGACGCCACAAACGCGGGAAGACAAGAGAGCCAGCTGCAGCAACGAATCATCAATCCCGGCAACTAAATGTGGTGGCAGATTTCAAAATTGCTAGTGTCAAGCGGAAGACCGGCGGCAACTCTCCCAGCGTACTGGTCACCGGCGCCATAATAGTGAACATATCGTTCCACGGCACTGCCAATTGATCACCCACAACGGAAACACACGTTGACAATCGACGGACCCGACGTACTGCCCCCAATTGCAAACAAAGCCGCGCTTTTGCGGAGAGAATGCGTTCCTAGGGCATTGGATGCGGCAGGCAGTGTGTCTCCCACAAGTTGCGACAGTCCACGGCCAAAGCAATCTCGCTGAATTGCACCAGGAAACAGGTTGCCGGAGTCGTGTTGAGTGTTGAGTGTTGTAAGCAAAGTAAAGAGCCAAAGCAAGGATGCAGCAAGTCTCGGGACGCAGTGGGTTAGCGTACACGTGTTTTGGATAGCGCCGCTTCATGCCACCTTGGTCGGTCTTCGACTTGTAGAACGTTACACCGATTGCGTCGCCTGTTGAGCCACATCGGCGTGAAATATTTGATCCACAAATAAATATCGCCTTAAGGCCACGTCATACATAATCTGCCCATTCTGCATGTTACATGAGCCTTGCGCAAGCATTACAGTATATGTTCAACACTATTAAAAGCTAAATCTATGTGAGTGAAAGCTAATGGAAGCCAGGTCACCCTGGAAAGCGAACATCCTCGTAGTCTAGCTTAACCTCGGCCTAATCTATCAATTTCCGTTTACACTCAGTTGGTTTTGAGCCCAAGTAACCTCCGCTGTCTCCGCGTCTGCCCTCACTCGTGCCGCCTTCCCCGACGCCCCGAGTCCCGCCGCCCAGCCAAACCGCGTCAAGAACCTCCAAATCCCGGAACCCCCAAACAACCCCGCACTTAGCCAGAGTTTTCTCGCACCTTCCTAGGATTTTTTGCCGCTGCCGTCCAAGCCGTCCGCGTCGCCAGCCAGCGTCTCCAGCGTCCCTCCGACGTGCTCCACATCACTACACTACAGCTCTACCTGTTCTCCTTTTGTGAGTATACGGGGCAGTACCATTATTGGGAAAGACGGTAAGTGCTAGTCTGGATTGGCACTGAGCTCCCAATAGGGTTTGCCATTTTATGCGAAATCCCGTCAATTCCCTCGTAAGTGCGACCGAAGGGAGCCAGCTGCGCAAGAAACGTCAAGTCAAGG